TATCAAAGCTGTTTTAAATTGTCAGTTATAAATTGTCATCTTTAAAATTGTTAGTAATAAATTCTTAACTTTTTAAACCTGACTCTTCTTTGAAATGAAACACAGAATGGTGTATATTTGGTTATTGAATAAGCAAAGATTCCATTAAGTCTTCTGTTTAATAAATAAACGTTTGCTATTAATTTAATTATCTTAAATTAAAAATTAATCTTTGGATTAAATGTAGACCAAGCCCGTTGGTGCATGAACTTCTATCGATTGCATAAATATTCTAGATATTTATGCATGATATAAGTTCATATGCTAATGTGTCTGATCTTTTCTCAGGATCTAGCAAAGCTGATAGCAAACAGTGTTAAATCCTAGTATGTAGATTGTCTACGCTACAACAGACACTTTGCAATACGATAGAGCTTTCAGACTTCCTATTTATTAGCTCAAGCATAAGAAAACATGAAGACTTCAAAAGTATTAGTATCAGCACCTCTCTGAAAGCATGGTGGAAGTATCTTAAAATGACAGAGTCTTCACTAGTACCATGCAGACGCACATCTATCTGGAATAATCCTGATATTTTGCAAAATAATAAAATGATGAACCTTCCGGACTGGAAAAATAAAGGAATCCTATACCTGGAACACATATATGAAGGATTGGACTTCATCCCATTTAATAGAATAGTCTCCCAATTTGGAATAGATGAGAATAGCTTTTTAGAATATCACCAAATTAAATCTGTAGTCAAACAAAAATTTAAGCTCAATAAAGTAGAATTACAAACACCACCAAGGGTATTAGACTTGTATAATCTCAAACCCCCCAAACTACTGTCTAAAGTATATAAGACACTGTCCAAAATAGACAATAAAATAGCAATCCCTACTGAATAATGGGAGGTGGATCTATCAGTTAGCTTTGACCAGAACTTCTGGTCCCAAACTTGTTTAAAAACTTTTAAAATGATCAGACACCCCAATTTACAGTTCATTCAGTACAAAATTCTACACCGAGCACACTATACAGGTTGTTCAAGATGGGGTTTGTGTAATCTGACACCTGTGCACACTGCACAAACAACATTCCTGACAATTACATTCACGCACTGTGGTCCTGTCCACCTGTCCAGGAATTTTGGGGTAGAGAATGTGAGGATCTGTCAAAATGTCTGAAATGTCATATCCCAACTTCCCCCTCTCTTTGTTTACTGGGAAACCTGGACGATGTCCCGATTGAAACATCTTTGGTTCACGTGGTTCTGACTGCCATATGCATCGCTAAGAAAAGCCCTGTTTAATCATGCTTGTTTTTTTATATTTCTGTTGAACCAAAGTTTGAAAGCAATGTCATGATTTTAGATTTACTATTACTTTTGTCAAAATAAACAAATGTCAGTAACAGCTGTTCTTTTTCCTTTAATGGGTGGGTATAAAAAACTAGAGGAACTAAAATGACAAAATTAATAAAGTCCATACACTAAATCAAGTAAAGTATTCATTTTATTCAACTTATTTAATACAATTTTATTTGACGTATTTCTGTCCTGGTCATGGGTTGTCCATAATGAACACCATGTTCAAGCATAAAGGTGTTTTATGTGCTCTTGGCACCAGGATGCCTTAGGCCGCAGTTCAATGATTGACTTTGTTGCTGTTTCATCTGATCTGCAGCCGAATGTAGGACACTCGAGTGAAGAGAGGAGCAGAGCTCTCAAATGACCACTAACTGGTGGCAAGTTGACTTCGATGGTGGGGAGGAAGCTGGTCAGATCTGGCAGGTCTAAACGTATTGTGAGGGTCTGCTGGGATTGTCTGGCGGATTCTGCTGTCAGAAGGAGCCTCAAATTCCACCTCCAACAGAATTTCAGAAGCAGGGGACATTGAGTTGGGTTGGACTGTCCAATTTCTGGTGCTGAGGTCACTGAGGTGGATGAGATCTGGACAGAGTTCCTTAAGGCTCTGGATGTTCTGGGGCTATGTTGGTTGACACAGCTATGCAACATCGTGTGGATATCGGGGCAGTTCCACTGGATTGGCAGACTGGGGTGGCGGTCCTCTTGTTTACACAGAGTGTGTTCCAACTACAGAAGGATCACACTCCTGGGCCTCGCTGGTAAGGTCTATTCAGGGGTTCTGGAGAGGAGGGCCCATCGGACTGTCAAACCTCAGATTCAGGAGGAACATTGTGGTTTACATCCTGGCCGTGGAACACTGGACCTAGGGCCTCATTTAAAAAGCTTGCTTACGCACAAAACGGGTTCGGAAAACTGCGTAAGCAACCTTCCATGCAAACTTTTGGATTTATAAAAGAAAACTGAGCGGAAAAATGTGCACAACTTTAACCCTCCCACTGTCTTTATGGGTGACCCTGTGAGGAAAGTTGACCATTGAGCAGGATTGATGGTTTATCCCTTGAGGTCCACGTGGCAGGGGTGAGGTGGTGCTCACTCCTCACCCCTGCCACGTGGACCTCAAGGGATAAACCATCAATCCTGCTCAATGGTCAACTTTCCTCACAGGGTCACCCATAAAGACAGTGGGAGGGTTAAGTTGACTGAGGACCTGGCTTACGTACATTTTGGACATGGAGAGCACCTGCAGTGCTGCTGCTGAGAAGGATACAATTATGAATTCCAGCAGTATTATCACTTGTACCTCTTCATGCGCACACAGAACAAGCTGCATCTGCAGTGATGCAGGTGTTTTACCAGTCTGCCGTGGTGAAGAGAGAGCTGAGGCGGAAGGCAAAGCTCTCGATTTACTGGTCAGTCTACGTTCCTGCCCTCACCTATGGTCACAAGTTTTGGGTAGTGATCGAAAGAATGAGATTGTAAACACAAGAGGCTGAAATGAGTTTTCTCCACAGGGTGACTGGGCTCTCTGAGAAACTTGGTCATCCAGGAGGGGCTGATTCTCCACATCGAGAGGAGCCAGTTAAGGTGGCTTGGGAATCTGGTCAGGATGTCTCTACATCCAACTGGGAGGAGACCCAAGAGAACACCCAGGACATGCTGGAGGGACTATGTCTCTCGACTGGCCAGGGAATGCCTTGGGATTCCCCAGGAAGAGCTGGCCCAAGTGGCTGGGGAGAGTGATCTCTAGGCTTCTCGGCTTAGGCTGCTGCCCCGCAACCCGACTCTGGATAAGTGGTGGAAAATGGATGGATGGATGGATTATTTCATGTTCTAAATATTCTACTTTATTCTCTCTCACTTTTCAGTAATCCAGAGAGCATCAGCTTCTCTGATACTCATTTATCCCAGCTTGTGTGGCTTATTCCCACGAAACCTCCTACATAACAGTATTTTGCTAACATTCATTTTTTCTTTCCAGCACAAATTTTCTGCCACATTTTACATAAGATGCACAAACCTGAATCATCCCATCTTTTGCTTTCAATCTTTTGTGGTTTTTTGTCCAAAAAACAAAACAAAACCTTCCTAACATCTATGTTTCAACCTCCCCAGTCCTGTTTCTCATGCACAGCACGCAGGTCGCTGAAGCACTTCTTCTGGAGAGACTCCATCAGGCTGCATGCAGAATACACTACGCAGCAGCGCCCTCTTTGGTGGATTTTAACACTGCATGTAACTTCTAAGAGATTTTAGTGTGTTCAGCTGTGGTACACATTCCTGCAGTCAGCATGCAATTGCACGCTCCATCAAAGGTTACGACATATGTAGCATTGTGCTGTTTGATCAAATAGCATATTTCAGGGTGGCCTTTTATTGTGGGCAGTCTAAGGCACACCTGTACATTATTCATGCTGTCTAATCAGCCCTGTGATATGCTACAACCTGTGAGGTAGGATGGATTATCTTGGTAAAGGAAAAGTGCTCACTACACGTAGACAGATTTCAGAACACTATTTGAGAGTCATGGATCTTTTGTGTTTGTAGACAAAATTTCAGATGTTTAAATGTCCAATATATGCACTGAACAAAAATATAAATGCAACACTTGTTTTTGCTCCCATTTTTCATGAGCTGCACTCAATTTTCATATGCATTAATTATAAGGTTTTGTTTCCAAATGGGAGGTTCCCACCACTGCCTGTTTGACCGAGTCACACATCTTGTCACGCCCAAACAATCCAAAAATGGGAATAGAGGTGGAGCTGAGGGTGGGGCTGTCACGTTTGGAACAGTGTTGGAACAGGTTGGAACAAATGAGTCAGTGTAGCTACTAACTTACTTAGGTAACTCAAGAAGGGTTCCAGAGACTGGGGTAGCCAACTCGCTTGGGTGTGAGGCTTTAGTTATGCTGGTTGCTTGTGGAGATCTAGCTGGGGCACACCGGAGGCGGACGTGCCGCGTTGCACCCAAGATTTTGAGAAGTAGTCACACAGGAACGCTGAGCGCTTCATGGAGAGCCCTACGATAGTCACGTCACACGGGACTTGAGAACAGGAAGCAGGAAGTGACTGTTGTTTTTACGTGATCAGACTTGCCGTAATGTTTTTGTGAGACTCAAATTCTTTACTTTAATTATTATTAATCAACCTAAAAAAATTTTTTTTTGAACCAGGCTTTAAAGACTCTTAGTCCAATTCACAGAGGTGGAGAAATAAAATAAATAAGTAAACATTGTACAGATTTGATAAAATGAAATTAGCACAACATGACAGGCTAAAGCACAAGAGACAAAACAATTATGAAAACAAAAACAAGAGACAGTAATAACAGTAGTGTGAAAAGTATACAATATAGTAACTCCTAAAAAAGACTGTAATACCAGTGTTTCCACATCTTTGACTAGATTTCTATTTGAGTTGGTTATTTCTTCTATATGAACACGTGGTGGCGCAAATTGAGTTAGAAATCTGAGCCGTTGTGAAAGACAAGGGGCGGAGGCTCGTTTTCGGACAGATTCAGCAGTCAACCAATAGGATTCGACAATGACTTCTGAAATGTTCCATAGACCAATCATCATTCGAGAAATGTGTGACGTCTTAAGTTTGATTCAGCCCCTCGTGTTACAGTAGACGCTCGATTTAAACGGCCTTCTTTTAAAGTTCCTGGTGGGGGGGGGGTGGTGGGAAGAGTTGTGCGACCTCGACAAAGGAGGAAAACAGCCACAATTCGACTCAGAGATATTTAAGTTCCAGGGTTGAAGTAACAGCAGGGTAGACATCACTCTAAGGTCTGGAAACATTTAATGCATTGCTAGAGCTAACGATCCGTGGTCTAGTAATGTGTATCTGTAGCTTACTTCGGCTGGATTCAATAAAGTTTGTTTAAAAAAAAGTGTAGCTAATGCTATTTGGCTAGCGGTGTCGTTAGCTCGATCTCCGCTAAGCTCATTGATTATTCTCTGTTGCTAGATTCATCAGCGCGGTAGATTCGTTAATAACAAAATGTGAGCGGTGACATATTTTATGACTAACAACAGGCACGCATATCTTGTTGTCTTTATTCTTTCATTATAAGGTGAAAACCAAGGTCTCGACTTCCCGATAACGTCAGAAAATACAGAAAATGGCGGAGCCGGACAAATTAAACATCGACTCTATAATTCAGCGTCTCCTGGAAGGTGAGAAATATTCTGTCCGTTACGTAGCAGATTATATTTTTGTGAGCTTGTAAATGCTAGATGGTGGTAAACTGTTAACTAGGTTGGCCAGTAAAAAAGGTTAAAGACACGATAAAGTGGCTGTTTTGTGTTTCTTTTCTCCGCCGCCGCAGTTGGATATTTTTACACAAAATGTTTTTATATTACTCAAGTTTCTCTGATAACCGGCTCTATCCTCACGGTTTCTCTTTATTTGTTCTTAATTTAAATCAAATGCATGACTGTACACAGTGGTGTATGAATGACTTCATAATGTCTTCAGATGTAAACCAAATGTTTTTTTTATTTATTTTGTAGCCTTTTCTGTAGACATTTCATTTCTTGTTTATCATTTTATGTAAACTATATATTTTGGGTTTGAGCAGCATTGTTGGTAGTTGGAGGATTTGAAATGGTTCTGTAAGTAAAAAGATCATTACTCTGATTCAAGGTAATGTTTGTACAGACAGATCGGTTGTAGTCATTTAGTTACCTTTTACAAACTAAGATTGTGCTATTTTAAGTCTTTATCACATGTGTAAGGTGTGGGTTCCTTCTGTCTTTATTGGCTGAAAAAGTGCTCTTCATACAATTTCTAAATGGACATAAGGACTTTTACAAGTATTTCAACTTTCACAATATGATTGTGCAGCGGGACCATATGACCCTATGGTGTGCCTACACCTGAACTGACCCACTCTGACCAATACCTACACTGACTTGTATAACGTAGCTGATTCACTAATTTTTGTCTCCCTACATTGTCATTTCATTGTGTTTATTCGTTTAAAATTTAGCATATCATTAATTTTTTCTTGCTCCAAGTACTGCACCAATTTCCTAATGGGATTCTCGCATAAATGACAATAAAACCCTCCTGATTCTCAAGGAGCCTTGAGTGCAACAAATGCAGACAAAACTTCTCACCATGAACTTGATTTCATAAGCAAAAGAAATTGTTGTAATCCAGACATTCAAACACTTTGGGCTCCAGGTCCCAAATTTAGCAGTCTCAAGGACTTCTGACCCACTGGTTGAAGTGCACAAAAAGTAATAATTTGATCCAACGTTGGCATAATGATAACACACACACAACCTCCAAAGAACTCCAACCACTGGGTCTTGTCAGGACAAAAACAGAAAAGCTGTAGAAAAGAACCAAGCAATGGAATTTGACAGATTACACACAAACCCACTAAAGGGTAAAACACTTAGTTGGTGAAAGGCATTAATTTATTTCTGGTGATCAAAACCGTTTGCTATAACCAAACACTTTGGGGGCATTAATTTAAACCTAATGAATTACATGAATGATGGGTCAGATCTACATTACATGCTTACCTCCAGTAAAAAAAATAAGTTTGCATCCATCTTTGCATCTTGCACAAGAATAGTAGTTAAAGGTGGAATACGGAACACGAACACCACAGCAACAGCTAGTGTGTGGAGATTAAAGTTGCAACAATAGAACAAGGTTTCCAGTCATCTGCAAGCTAGGTTCACTGCCGATACGTGACATTTTTCATTTGGGTCCGTCTGTTGTAGGCTTCACCTACACTCACTGAGAAGGATAATGACATCTGGGCTCAGAAGCAGCTGCTTGACTTGCCGAGTCGTCCGTTTTCCACAATGCCAGCCTCGCTGTGCGCAGCAAGCTGTTTGGCAACCCACAGCGGTGCCCTCTATTGGCTGGTAGATGTAAACATAAACCCAGTGTCGTGCCTGTCAGAATATATATTTAATCTATATTATTATTAGATTTTTTTATTAAAATATATCTTTCAAAGGAAGTACTGTACCTTCATTCAGCATAATGCCTTGTGGGGGTATTAATTTTAAAAAATATAGATTTTTATTAAATTGTTCCATATTCAACCTTTAAATAGTCTTTATTCATGAAGCTCAAATATAAATTGTTAGTATCTAGAAATATTAAGGTGTAAAACACTGTAACAACCATTTTTAGTCTTATTTCTGAGTATAATGGGTCACTTGGAGTTTTTCATGCAGGCTTGTACTTGTGATGCACAACTAAAGCCCACACTCGTTACATTCGTGAACAAAAATTAAAGAGAAAATGGGATGACCACAGAAAGCTAGATAGATAGATACTAGACAAGTTGGGAGTCGGATGCAAGCAGAGGTGTCATGGCCGACTGACCTGTTGCGGGCTCAGTTTGCTGCACCATGTTCTGCCAGGCTCAGCGCTTTGATGTGAGGCTTATTGTGTTTGAAGTGTTAAATAGCTAAGAACTGATTGAGCTAATTGGTTTGTTCATGTGATGAGCCCATTTATTTTTCTGCGGTTTCCCAGTAAACATATTTTGATAGTGACGCTCATGCAACTTCTAGTGGCACAAGATAAATTCCACCCCAGTGCAGCTGAAGGACTTGAAGCACGTAACCGGGCAAAACTATTTTACTTGGTTTGAACATTAACTGAAATTAACCGGGTAACTATGTACATCCCTACTTCTGATAGAAAATAAATGGTGAAACTCTAGGATTTTAAATTCCTGACAGATCTATGTCACACTGTCACTTAACATTCGTGGGCTCACCCATCATGACTTGCTGCGGGGAAGGCTGCTATTAGCGCCCAGGAAACTGCAAATAGCGTCTTTGCTAGTAGAACCGTTAGCATTAGAAACTTCACAACACAGCAGAACTCCTTCAGGCTTGTTATCTGTGGAGATGAAACATCAGTGTTGTAAGTCAGTGGTTGAGTCGCATTGCTGTTATCCAATCAAAGGAGAGATGTCCAAATATCAGGAAATAAGACTCCAAAAACTGCCGTCTGAAGCTCAGCTGTGATGTGGCTCACTTCTATTTCCTGAAATGGTGCTCTGGAGTTTTTGGCCAGTCTCGGTTTGGTTATGAAGCCCCTAGAAACACCTCAATCAGAACTCTCCCTGCATGATATATATATATATATATATATATATATATATATAGTTTGAGATTTTTTTGTCTATGGTCTAATTCTCAATGTGAGCTGGGTGCAGATATAAGCTTAAAGATCACACACTCTTCTTTATGTGACAGCATGCAAACACTTTATCTGGTTAATGTTTGGGGTCGATACTTTTCCCAGAAGCCTGTAGATGAATGTAATCTTAGCCTTCAGTTTGTTTACCTTCTTGTAAATAAAGCCACATGACTAGCCTTAGCTGAGCTGTTGGATGTGATTGGGATTATACTCAAATATGCATGTGCAGTGAAATATCCTCCTGGGACTTTGACATTGACTGAGGGACATGCTGGAGTATGCCGTACATGGATTGTTGCACTTGGACTGTGATAATAATGTCTGCCAAACACAGGAGATGACAAACAAGCCCGATAGTGGCAGTATTTATATCCTGTTATGCAACTCACACCCCTTTTTGTACATATGGTTATATTGTCTGGTAAATCAGTTGTATCTGCTGCGGTCGAGGTTGCGTGACATTGAAGAAAAGCTCCCTGCTGCATGTGCTACATTGAAACTTAGATTTAGTTTTTTCTCCTGTGCGTGAAACGAGGTTACCTCCCTGCTGCTGTGTTTTGAGACCAAACCAATTAACAGTGTTTGGATAATTAGGAGCTACAATTGGATTACTTGTGCAGATCTGAAGCTAGGCTAACTTGGGATTGTTGCTGATAGCATGTTAGCAGCGTGCAACATCACAGAATTCAAAGCATTGAGACGCAATTGCTGAACCGAATGAACTGCTGATTTCACCCCCACAGATTTGCAGCAGTACGGGTCCAGCTCTCTGGCTTTGAGCCCCTTGTTCAGTGTAGTGGAAAGTCTTTTGTGTACTCCCCTCATGACGGGGGCCATGAGGCTAACTTTGGAGTAAACTCCGCCAGGGCTTAACCTTCTGTAATCCAGGTTTTAGGCAACAAGCAGCCACACCGTATTTATAGCTGCTTTCTCGGCCTTTTGTGGTCCCTCCATTATCATGCTCTTTCTCCACTTTCATTTGGCAATTCCTACTTTTAATAGCACTACTCACACAGCAACAAGAGACAATTTAATCTGTGTTTAAATCATTCCTAGGCAAAGTTAACATACTGGAATGGTTTGTTGGCTAAGCTGAACCAAGTTTGTTTTTTCTGTCATCGGCCCGCTCATGTTATTGATTCTGTTAGTTATGCGAACTAAAGTGATTCACAGCTGCTGCAGCAGCTTGCATAAGGGTGCAGTGCACAAATGTGTTCTCAGCTGCAGCTCCTGGATCTGGACTTCTTTAAGAGCATATTTTTAGAACGTGGTCATTTTTATAATTGCAGACTGCCCGTGAGATTAGGGGACATCCTGGTGCCTATTGTGTCTGATGTCATCAGCGTGTGTGTGTGTGTGTGTGTGTGTGTGTGTGTGTGTGTGTGTGTGTGTGTGTGTGTGTGTGTGTGTGTGTGTGTGTGTGTGTGTGTGTGTGTGTGTGTGTGTGTGTGTGTGTGTGTGTGTGTGTGTGTGTGTGTGTGTGTGTGTGTGTGTGTGTGTGTGTGAACACACATGCAAACATTTGATAAAACCTGCAGAATTCTAGAGGAAGCATTAATATGTTTACAAAAAGAAAACACTCATTTTTTCCTAAATGTTATTTATTAGTAACATTTTTACTTCAGTCATTTATTTAGTTACATTTCTGATATTTTATGTGTCGAAAGCGTTTATCTATCAGGAAATTGACTTGTGTGTTTTCAGCATTTCTGCTGCAGCATCAACATGAAGAGGAAGTGGTTTTACGCCTTTTAGCTTCGGTTTTAACATCAACTTCAAAACGAGCAAAACAAAGCCGCTTCTGAGGCTGAGCACGCCGTTACATGCTGCTCATCGTGCCCCCTAAGCTCTTACTTACTTGTTAGGAGTTTAATTCTTTCATTTCTAGAACAATATTACCTCTAAATGTTGTGAGTACCTGCTGAAATGACTGTTGGACTGAGCCGCTAACAGAACTTGACAGCATTTGGCTGGTGGGAGGTGTTAACCGTCCAGTCTGGTGGTCTGGTTCAAAATCCAAGCTTTGCTGTGTGTCACTTGTGATGTTTCTTCCATAAAATAAGTGACATCTCTCTTTTTCCTATTTCCTCCTCCAGTCAAAGGCTCTCGGCCAGGAAAGAATGTTCAGCTAACGGAGAACGAGATCCGCGGCCTCTGCCTGAAGTCCCGTGAGATCTTCCTGAGCCAGCCCATCCTGCTGGAACTGGAAGCTCCTTTAAAAATATGTGGTGAGTTTTTGTAAAAATTAGGGGCTGCAATGTAAAATTATAGTTTTTCTGTTTATTTTGAGTTTATTCCTCCTAATAGTTATTGCTCATAAACCAGGAGCTAATTAGACTTTTTCTCCTCACATAAAGGAAATCTTACACAACATGTTCCTCCATTGGCTGAAGTCTTATCCTGGGTTTACACAATGGCTGCCTTTTGTTTGGGTTTCAGCATATTACACATCCTACCATTTGTCATAGTATTTGTCACCTAAAGTCCTCTGGAGCAACTCGAAGCCCAAACTCTGCTTGATCAGACAACCACAATGTAGGTTATCACACCCAAAGTTCACAGCTAATCTGGCGACAAGGACAAGTTCGTCTTGCACAACACGTCCATTAATGACCTTATTATTAAAGCTTTAAAATAGTTTTATTGTGTGAACTTCATCAGCTTTTCTTTTCATAATTGTCTAAATAGCAAGTCGATCAATTACAATACAAAAACCAAAAGAATATTTTAGGGAGATTATATCACTAAGACTCTAAATTATCTTTTTCTATTAATAAAAGGAATGAGAGTTTCAGAATTGGTACGGTCCACTTAAAGGCTGGCGAGTTAAAAATAGGATTCTTCCTCATAAATGACAGTAACGCTGACATGGTGTTTCTTTGCTGCCCCCTGCAGGTGATGTCCATGGTCAGTACTATGATCTCCTCCGGCTCTTTGAATACGGAGGCTTCCCTCCTGAAAGCAACTACCTGTTCCTGGGGGACTACGTGGACAGAGGGAAGCAGTCCCTGGAGACCATCTGTCTGCTTCTAGCTTATAAGATCAAATACCCAGAGAACTTTTTCCTGCTGCGTGGCAATCACGAGTGCGCCTCTATTAATCGAATCTATGGTTTTTATGATGAGTGTAAGTGCAAAAGATGTCTGTGAATAATGAACAAGTCAGAGTTGGTTGTACAAATGCTGCAAATGTTTCTTTTTCTTTGCTGGTAGGTAAGCGACGGTATAACATAAAGCTGTGGAAGACCTTCACAGACTGCTTCAACTGTTTACCTGTGGCTGCCATTGTAGATGAGAAAATCTTCTGCTGTCACGGAGGTAGAGCTAGTGAACGTGTGCTTTACGGATGATGAAATATGAACGACTAACAAAACCTGATGTTCTCTCTGCGTCGTCTTTAGGCCTCTCTCCGGACCTCCAGTCCATGGAGCAGATCCGCAGAGTAATGCGACCCACAGACGTGCCTGACCAGGGTTTGTTGTGTGACCTGCTGTGGGCAGATCCAGACAAAGACGTCCTGGGTTGGGGCGAAAACGACCGTGGCGTCTCCTTCACATTCGGAGCAGATGTGGTGGCCAAATTTTTGCACAAACATGACATGGACCTAATATGCAGGGCGCACCAGGTGATGTTTGAGTGGTTTTGTGTAACTCGCCAGGAAAGCTCTGCTCCTGTTAACTTTGATCTCTGCTTGTTGTGGGGGTGTTATTGGGACATGAGTCAACACGCTGTGATATTGCGTCATCTATGTAAATTTAATCCTTTGAGGACTCTAGTGGCTTCTTCATTCTTCTAGCACTGATTCATTCGGACTTGAGTCACTTTTATGTTCCTCGTGTTTTTACTGGGATGCACCCTTCACAGGGGCACACAAAGGTTACGTACGGTAGTTCCTAATTTAGCTCAAGTACAACTGTAATGTAAGAACTGCAACTCAAACATTTCACAAACGTGTCGGGGAGGAAAATCTTTTTCCCTGATTATGTTTAATCGTTCTCACCTGGACCTGAGAAACCCTACTAGTCTTTGTTCTGACACTTTTATTTCTGTGCTAAGGTCGTGGAAGATGGTTATGAGTTTTTCGCAAAGAGGCAACTCGTCACTCTGTTCTCAGCGCCCAACTACTGTGGAGAGTTTGACAATGCTGGTGCCATGATGAGTGTGGACGAGACGCTCATGTGCTCCTTTCAGGTGGGTAAACACACGGCCTGTTTGTTACTGCTCCATGTAGCTTAGCTGAGTGATCTTCGTATCATTTGTGTGTGTGTGTGTGTGTGTGTGTGTGTGTGTGTGTGTGTGTGTGTGTGTGTGTGTGTGTGTGTGTGTGTTTCCTAGCTCCTTGTCAAACGGATGTTTAACATATTGAACTTGACAAATATTCAAATTGGGACTTTAAATTAGAAGAAATTGTGTTTGCCATTTTAATGTGGATCATTCCTTCATCTGTCTTGCAGATTCTGAAGCCAGCAGATAAGAAATTGTATTCTTTCGGAGGAGGAGGAGGAGTGGGATTAGGAAGACCGGTCACTCCTCCAAGAAATTCAGCCAAGGCCGCTAAGGCCAAGAAATAACACCTGCTGAGTTCCCTTCCTACAACCTTTTCACCCTCTGTTGGCCCAACTTTCTTTTTCTTTTTCTACCTCCTAATCTTGTTTCTCTTAGTTACCGAATGGCAACAAAGACGACCAGTGTCCAATGTTCATTCGTGTGTTATATATATTTTGTTTGTTTCTAAAACAAAGTTCAAACGTTTATCTGGTTATTTACGTGTGTGTGTGAGAGGGAGATGTGAGAACGACACAAAGGGAGTTGCTGTATTCTGTACGTTTTATTTCCCTTCCTCTTGGTCTTTCTGTTGGTTGCAGAGACGGGTTTGTCCCACTCATCATGTAAATCCTAGCCTGGCTGCAGGGGTGGGAGAGCACAGCGCTGACTGATTATGTTAAGGCCAGGCACTGTTCAGCATTACTTTCATGCTTTTGTAAATCATGTTTCACGTATTCATGTATGTCTTTGATGGGTGTGTGTGTGTGTGTGTGTGTGTGTGTGTGTGTGGGGTGATCATAGATCAGGTTGCACAGCTGGAAGGTAACGGCACAGGTGGATCTATAGAAGTGCAGGTTAATGCTCGAGTTTGATGAATTCACAATAAGATGACTTTTTTTTTTTCCTTCTTCCAACTTGAAAATCGTTTGAGATGACATGGATGTGATGTAGAGTTGCTCTTTTCTTCAACCTAATTTTTGTTTTATTTTTGTAGATAACTGAAATGAGTATGGTTTTATTTTCCTCTTTCTTTTTTTTTTAGTTTATTTGAAGCTGAAGATGAATAAAAAGTAACCATTTATTTGAATACGCCATCATGCTTATCACTTTGTTATATCTGTCGCTCAGTGGTTGGTTTCTGTTGTGGTTTTGACTGCTGCACCTTGAACTAATGCAGCTTTGAAGAATTGTTTTATAAATGGGATGTAAATGATGTAAATACTGGCAGGTGTGCTTCTGGCCCGGATGATACACAGATTAAACCGAGACGTGAGACTTGCTGCTTCAGTCTGATCAGGACGTGTTCATTAGAAACGAAGAAAATGATTATTTAAAGAAAACTTGGGATTGTTGTAGAGCTGGGCTGGTGTGCGGCAGCAATATTTTAGCTGAAATACTCAAACAGCTGTCATCCAATAACAAACTGACAGTTAAATAGATTTAATATTTCATACTGTTAAGAATGCAAGCTTTATTTAAAATGAGAACAATTAAAGGAATATCAGATTGTTGATCACATTTAAATCCTTCATTTGACTGTAAGTTAAACAAATATAGTGTTAAATTTCAGACCCAAATTCTACAATCATAAATCTTAACCTTGGTACTCAAATGGCATGGCCCTCTCATCCCTTTAGTTTTTATTGAGATGGTTACGAAGCCTCGAACGTGAGGAAAATGCCTGCAAATCGTAGTTCTAGAGTAATAAAACATGAATGTATTAAGATAAACATGTACATACATTATATTCAATCTCTTAAAAGTTAAGGTCACGGCATCAAGTGCTTTTCAGGTGAACATCTTGTTTTCCACTCGAGACTTTTCTGTGCTTTCTACTTTAGCGGTTCTGTAGACGTATTTGGATTTGTTTGTATTCCCTTCCCGTGGAAAAAGCCATAAACAAATTTATTGTATCAAATTATTCTAGTGAAACAACAAAGACCCCTCAAACACCACAACCTCTTTTAAAACAACTTTGTTTTACCCGCTTGATGTATTTTTAAAAGGTGTCCTTCAATCCCCCCCCCCCCCCCAAAAAAGGCCCATTTTGGTCTATTTACCCCGCTGTTTGTTGACTCCAGCAGGCATACGGGGTGTTCCAGTGCAGGAAAACAGGTCATGGTTCGGCACAGACTGATGGAAGTGGAGCAAACAACTCTTTCAGGGTATTTCACCGCCCATTTCTAACAACTAAAGCATACGTTTGGCCATTTATGTCAGAAAGTCTGCTGCTTGTCTACTTAAACATGCAGCTCTGCCGTAATGCCACCAGTCAAACAGCACGAACTGGAACGGGGCTTCAGCCGTCACTGGGCTGCTCCTCTTCTGTTTTTCTCATCTCGCAACATGAAAAAATGATTCAGGGTGAAAATAAAAAAGCAAAAGTTTATATTTTCTGTTTAGCTTTCTAACGGTCAAAAGAGTACAAACGAAAGGCCAGGCATCTGAGAAGGAAAAACAAAGTGCTTCATTATGCTCATATGTTAGAATCCACTCAGAAGAGAAATAAAAGGTTGAAGTGCATTCAACTGAAACAGATGTGCATGAACTCTTAGTGCTGGTTAGGGAGTCCACCCTGATTACTGAGGAGCACAAAGTTCACGGTGATTAAAGCTGGTTCCTTCTTCAGTTCTTGTGGTTTTAAAAGTATAAATGATCTTGGTTAATATGAAACTGTAGATTTCCAACATTTTAATCACAGTTATGCATTTATCAACAATGCTAACTGAATACCTGACCTGCAGGTGTCTGTTGAAAGTGTCCAGTAAATGTCATTTTCATAGCTGTACAGTCCTCGGCGTACACGATTCAGCTGTCTGCTTCTTAGATTCTCCTGTCAAGTCATTCTTTTCCCTGTAATATTAAACTCTAGTTATTGAGAGCTTATTAGCTTAGGAACTTTCTAATCAATCAGGGATATTTTGCACCTTGCACTGTTGCTGGGTAGATTTATAATCATTAGATATTACAGTCAGACAAAACACAATGGTATTTTATTTGTCTTTATAGTTTTCAAGGCAATGAAATGGTCTATGTTCAAAATCTAGAAATAAACACAGAATTTTTACATTCGTGTCTGGCTTTTCTTTGATGTCAAATGTCAGAAAATATAGAGCAGTTCATTTTTGTGCTTTTGCAGAAACATGTAAAGGTGAAGATAGCATTGGGTGGAGTTCTTACTGTCTTTTTGGCTTTTTTCCTTGTCTTAATGCATCTTTTATGTGTTTTGTGCAGGTTGCCCGGACTTAATTTAGAATATTTCTGCACGAGTCATGGGTGGTTTTATTTTCCCGTTTAGCTATTGAATGCCCTGTGGCTCAGACAAAACAGTGAGAAACTTTTATTTAATTACAATATTTTACACCCCCCCCCCCCCCCCCTAGTCTAGTGGGCAATAAGCCACAACAATTGTACCAACACACGATTCCAAATTTACCTGTAAGCTACTGCTTTAAATACAGACAACTCAAATCCTTTCAACCGCTATAATGTTTCACTCATCACCACATCAACTCGCCATGCTTCTGCTTTAGTTTATTCTCAAACGTTTGATGCCACACCAGCTGACTGATTCATGAAGATGATGAAAATGAGGCCAAAACCAGTCAGCTCATCCATACTGACAAATTATGTGTCAGCTTTAATAATGATAATGGGTTTATGTTAAAAAGCTGAGAAGATTTTAATGGTAATTCTTCAATTTTAAACAATAAAAAGGTGCAACGATTGAAGAATCACCTAATTGTATTGTTCCTGAACTGTAACTGATGAGTGATATACAAAAGCACATCCTGGAGTTACATGGCTGTAACAACATTCCACCTCCCGCTGCAGGGCCTGTCTGTGTGGGTGCCTGGATATTTGAAGTCCTTTGAAATATGCAACAGCACTTCTTTGAATTGCTTTCCAGTTTAAACCTGTCCCCAGAATGGGGGAATGGTTTTGTGGGGGTGCAGGGAGTACATTGATCCCGGACATTTAGCTCTCTTGACAGAATCTTGGCTGAAATCCTGAAAAGAGCAGGCTGCACCCCTAAACAGATAAATGTTTGAAATTAAGGAGCGAAATTTTAAACTGTGATGGAGAATTTGGTTTAAATATTATTGCAATCAAAACCGAAGACAATTTAATTTGATTTTATACTGAAACTGAGTGGCAGGGCATTTGATAAACTCCTACAATGAATAACTGAAAATGTCTGCATTTTATTAAACGCCTGCAATAATTGGTATGCAAATACGGGCACTTATGGATTTTAAAAACTGAAACATTTAGTGGTGCTTCAATACGGACACAAAAGGACCATTCCCATAAAATAAACTCCATGTACTTAGTTATTTTCTCATTTCAAGTGCCCTTCAAAAACAAAACACAAACACATCAACAACAGTACCAACTCTAAGCAACTGACAAGACCAGCCCTGAACACTTCAATAGGAGTACTCAGTTATCAGAGAAACTCTTTTTACCATGAGAGTTAGCTCGTTATTTTAATGCTTTTGTCTGTTTCAGCTCCATTGTTTTCCATTTTAGCTGTTAGTGTTTCTCTGGAATAAATTCCTAGAGCCAAATCCGGGTCCTTCAAACACTCAGGACACGTAGCACCGCCCAGTCCGAATCTGACCAATTAAAACGCAGGAAACGATCCACTGCGCTTGATTTGTATAAAAAAAATGTACACGGCTTCAGCCAATAGGGCGCCGCATGGGCGTGGACTTTTATAGTTTGGTTGCGCCGGACGTTGCTCATCAACTTTTTAGCGATATTTGCAAAGCTACATACTAGCGAAATATTCACGTTTCGCTGCTCTTTTGTACGCGTGTGTGGTGCATTTTCACTATACTGGGGTTTCAGACTGACATCTAAAGTCGTTATCAAAATCGAGAAGGTGTTTGAAGAGAAGAGGACATCCGGCGAAGACGGCGAATTAGCGAGCGGGGTTATGTTTCTAGGCTAACTCGGAGCAGGCGAGAGCTTGCCAGAAATTTTCCTGCCTGACGATTTTTTTCGTTTACTACAAAAGACTCCCAGGTATTTGTGCTAGCTTACAGGCGATGGCATTTCTTCAGATATGGAGCACCATAACCTCGATTTCATAAATGACGTGGTGCAGTTTTACTGTTATTTGGCTAGCTGCAGGCCTCCTCACCTGATAACAGCATCTTTTCACTGAGCTAATGTGCTACTAGGAACACACAGTACAGCATCACCATCATTACCATAAGAGAACATACAGACTGTGAAAAATAAGAACACTGCGTGATGGGACTGGGTGCTAAAGCGGGATCCGGTTGAAGCTATATTGCGGGATTTTGTTCTTTTAAGTGTGCAGAAATGCAAAACGCGGGTTGTTGTTGCCATCGTCTGTACTTATTTAATTATTTATTTGATTTTTTACTCTTGACCCCTGTGATTGCAGCATGCTGATGGTGGGAGGCGATGGACGGGTGCACTAGAATGAGTGTGAAGGAGCTGTGTGAGACCGATGACCTGGCCACCAGTTTGGTGCTGGACCCGCTTCTGGGCTTCAGCACCCATAAAATGAACATCAGGTAATCTGTTGCTTAGAGGATGTACAGCCCTGTCACTGGGTCTGATGGGGATTTCTACTTGGCGTCCACATTATCACAATATTGCTGTTTTTTTTAGTTATTTATTTATTTTTATTCACCACGTCAACAACAGCTGTCCTGGAGGTGTGTCGTTCACAGAAAATCAAAAGTGAAAGTATGTTTTAGTAAACAGAGACATTGCTCATGGAAGCAGTTTATTTATTGTTTTGGATCTGCTAAGCCCTTTTGACTAATATAGGGGTGCCCAAAATGTGCAATGGTTGTATATTAACACACTTCACCGATGTAAGGCCGGAAAAAACGCAGGTAAATTAATTCCTTATCAATATGCAACTGGAGAAGTTGCGTACATCACCAAGTATTTGGCTTTTATTTTAATTGCATTTAATTCATTGGACCACAAAGTCTCCCAGGCTTTTAACTGAAAATCAGATATTTCTGTGGATAAAGTGACCCTTGTGATTACTTTCACTTTCTGATTTATCAGAAACATCACTAGTGCTACTCAGATTTCTTTACTTGGGTTGATGCACTGGAAAATATTGCCCAATTCAGCCAAGTTGGACATTTGGAAAATATCTCAGATCCCTCTTTGAGTGCTTTAAATGGATTGTCTGGATATGTTTAGGTGACTTCCTGTAAAGGTTATAAGCCATTAGATTATGGTTCATACACTTGTGACTGTTAGAAAACGGTTCATGCAACGATTGTTTTATAAAACTCACACCACCTTACATTTCACAATGTGTTCTTGTTTACATCAAGCAGGGGAAGGACACCCAGGTCCTCGAGAGCCACTATCCAGCCTGATTCACCTGTTCAGCAGCTCATCATGCTCTGCAGAAGCCTGTTAATCACCTGCTGATTAAAGTCAGGTTTGTTAACGCAGGGAAACCTGTAGAGCAGGGATATTCAATTCCGGGCTCCGAGGGCCGGTATCCAGCACGTTTTGGTTTTAACCCAGCTTCGACACATGGTCAGCTGCTGCACAGGTGATTTAACCACTGAATCTAGTGTGTTGGGACGAGAGAAATCACTAAAACGTGCAGGATACCGGCCCTCCAAGCCCGGAAGTGAACAGCCCAGCTCAGAAAGGTTCTGGATAGAGGCTCTCTAGGGCTGGAGTTTCCTAACCCTTACATAGACTTATTTCATTTGGCAGAGATTTTATAATAATTCAGCTCAAAGACTCCAGGAAATTCAAGTTAATGCAAAAGCTGTTTGGTAATTTTTATTTTAGCATTCAGCTGCTTGGAAATGTTTAGATTACATTTTTAAAGGCAACTGACCCATTGTGACTAGCTGTTAGCTCTTCGTTTGGACCAGAACTTTAAACGTGGGTTATTCAGAAAGAGCTCCACATGCAGAAAAACACTGATGATCCAGAATCTCTCTAAACTACAGGTGAAACTCGAAAATTGAAAATATGGTGCAAAAGTCCATCTATTTCAGTAATTCATCTTAGACTGATAGACCATTTTAACACAGCAAAACTGATTCTAAGATTAAAAAAATAAAGCAAATTTTCAGACAGTTGAGCATATTTTTAGTCTAAGAAGAAAAAAAAGCATGTTTTCTAGAAAAATAGCATTACTTAACTCATTCGCTGCCAGCGTTTCTCAGCGTTTTTACAGTGTTTTTAAGAGTCACAGAACGTTGGATGATGTCGACGCCAAAACAACCAAAACAAAGCGGAGACTCGCCTCTTACAGCAGGAAGAATCCACGCGCGTCGTGCGTTATCCGTTCTTTCGTAATCCGTTGTTGAACTGTGATCGGCAGAAGCCTTTCCGGTTCACGCCTCACTTTTTTTACAGCAGCGGTCCAAAACGATCTCCTATCACATGGATTTTCTGCTTCCTGATCACGTGACGTGTGACGTATGCGGATGAAGATCGGCCGTAGAGCTGAGATGTTTGTTCTCACGGTGCGGGGGCTCGTTCCGACGCCCACGCAGTAAAAACATGCAAATGACGACTTTAGTCGTCAGTGGCAGTGAATGAGTTAAAACAAGGTAACTATTCTCAAAGGGGAGTTCCTCCCAAAATAGAAATTTTGTCTGTTGACATATTTCCCAGAGTTAGCTAAGTGGGGAAAACCATTGCTAACCAGCCCAGTCTTTCTCCTGACCTGGCTGCACTCCTTTAGCTTTAGCTTAGCATAAAACACAGTAAGTGAATGGATCCAACTAGCACTGTGAGTAAAAATGTCCTTAAAATACTTAAAATACCAAATATTTAGTGACCTAAATAATCAGACTGACTGCAAGTGAAAATAATTGCTAACATATAGGAATCACAGGCGCTTTTTTAGACTTGGGACTACTTTATGATAGAGCACAGCTGTAAGCCTCCGCTGGCAGCCCCAAAGACACCTGCTTCTGTAAACACAGATGCCCACGTTGTTAGTGAACCGGTGTAAAATAAACACACACACACACGCTATATCATATATTAGTTTCATCTTTTAAAATTAATTACTGAAATAAATGAACTTTTGCACCAGATTAAATTTTCACCTGTAAGGTTATAAGACCTGACCCTTCCCTTTAACTCGGGGGGGTATTGAACTCCGGTCCTCAAGGGTCTGTGTCCTACATCTTTTAGTTGTTTGATTTTAATCAGCAGGTAATTCAACCACCGAATCAAGTGTGCTGGAGCAGGGAAACGACTTAAACATGCTGGGTTGCGGCCCTTGAGGACCAGAGTTTGAGACCCCTGGAATGAAAAGTTATTTAAGTTTTCTATTTTGATAGAATCCGTCTAAAATTTGGTGCAGGTTTTACTAGCAAAGAGGATCAGCCAAATAAATAAATGCCTGCGTCTCTGTAAACGTCTGTGATCATCACCTAGTCACTGTTATTTGTTTGTTTGGCTGTTACTGAGATGTGCTAAAATTACTGATGCTATCAAAAGTTTAGATGCGTCATAAATGGAACAAATCTGAAGACTTTGACAGTATTTCGGTGCTAAATAAGGCGCAGCAGTAGCTCAGTAGGCAGAGCGGGTTGTCCGGTAATCGGAAGGTTGTAGGTTCAATCCCGGCTCCTGCCAGAGAATGCTGCTGTTGTGTCCTTGCCTCTTGGGCAAGACACTTAACCCGTTGGTGGTGGTCGGAGGGACCAGTTGGCAGCCTCGCCTCCATCAGTGTGCCCCAGGACAGCTGAATGTGAATGGGTGAATTAGCCTTGGGGGGGTAAGGAGATGCTGTACAAACATGGGCCATTTTCCCTTTTTAATAATGTTGTGCCTAAAGAAACCTGGTTGTGTCTGACTGTTGTGCTTCTGTCGTCTCTAACTCAGTCCCCCTCCAGAGGTCCGGCGTTGGGGCAACCTCAAAGAGACGCTGTTGCGGTTTCAGCGCACGCATGACTTTGACGCCACGTTTGAGGCTCTGACTGTCGGAGAACTGGCCGGTGATTACTTTAATGCTCTGGGAAGCCATCGACAGGAGCTGCTGAGACAACATGTACGCATAAAACCCCCAAACGTGATGAATAATGTTGCTAATGGTTCAGTGTGAAAACGATCTAACTTACGGGCCGTGTGGCGTGGATGCAGGTGTATCGCTACCTCAGTGCCTTCCTGCTGGATAGTGGCATCAGGATAGAGTCCTGTGACAGATACTCCTCGGAGACTAATGGAGCAAAGATAACATCAACAAGGCACTGGTAAGCCCTCTCACTTTGTACTTCTGAGGGTGGAACTGCCACTTGTCGCTATTACAGCCTCGTTATTGAACAGCAGCGGTAACACCGGAGTTGTTTCTCTGCAGGTTTGTTGGAGAACGCGTGGAGGTCCTACTGGGCTGCATCGCAGAGCTGAGCCTCGCCGACAGCACCGTGCTGAGGGCAGGGGTCAACGACTTCAGCGTGATGTATTCCACACGCAAGCGCTGCGCTCAGCTCTGGCTCGGGCCGGCGGCGTTTATCAACCACGGTGAGCTGGTTTGTCTTTCCGCATCAGAAAGTCTAATTTCAGGGTATTTATCGCTCAGCCTTATTAGAATATTTGAAACTGTTTTTTGGTTTTTTATTTCAAACTGACAACACAGTTAAGGACATGAGAAAACGTGGACTATAACTCTTATTATATTAGACTTTCAGAATTGGTATATTACGTCAAAAGCAATCTTTACATAATAAAAACCTTCAGATGTGTCTTTTCTACTGTAACTCAGAGCTGGGTTGCTTTTAGCATCTCGGCTGTTCTTGCTGTTTTCTAGTAGCTGTAGATCATCCCAGAGTACGTCGTGTTTTTGCTCGCCTCTGACAGGGTATCTGCGGGTCCTTTAAAAAGGCTTAAATTAGCTTTTCCAAATTTAAGGCCTTAAAAATCCTTAAAAATGACAAATATTCCTTAAATACATTTTCCAAAGTTCTTAAATGAACAAAGACCCAATAATCAAGATTATTTTATTTCTATAAAATTTTTGTGAATTTCTAGTCAGTGTTCAGCATTTTTTGTGTACGATGTTGACGTAAGCGGAACCGTACACATTCAGTTGGTTGTGAAAGGGGGCTATTTTTAGATGAGCACATTAGCTGGTTAAGCTAGTGGGAGCTTGCACCATGGGGAAGTGCAAGTTTAATGGTAACTGGATGGTTAATCCCAAGTTTGCGACGTGGTTAGCACCGGTTCTGGAAATTATAGCTTCAATTTAATTTTTAAAATAGCTTAAATTTGGTCAAAGTGGCCTTAAAAAGTCTTAAATGTGGCTCCCTTGAACCCGCGGGTACCCTGCTCTGAATGCAGACGTGTTATAAGTCTGGCCAGATTTATAGGTTTGGGACTGACACGCCGCGCAGATAAGGAGCTTTATTTAGAAACACATTTTTACTGAAAGGCGCCTCACGGCGGAAAGTTTTTTATTTTCCACCCGTATAAAGATGCAGACGTGTCCGCGCTTCGTTACCGTGCAGCAATTAACACTCAGATTCACTCGGTTGTTTGCATTTGAGTTAAAACGTTTCAGCAAGTAAACTTGAAATTGTCTTTTCCCACCGACTCGTGTTTTCCAGTCGACTATATTTTAGATCATACTCTGACATTGTTTATTCTTATTTAAACTGATTCCTATTCAGGTTAAAGCAGTTAATTTTCTATCCACTCTTATGTGTATTTCCTCTGATTCTGTGTTAAATAATTGCTACTGTCATTAAATCTAATATATCCAATAATAACTATCTTTTCTCATCTTTGTGTTTCTGCGTTGAAGACTGCAAGCCCAACTGCAAGGTAATATTTATTAACATAATTATAATAATGAACAATCATGGAAAAACAGAGTAGCCAAAAACCTTCACTGCCGAATGAATTTGGTGTTTTTGTCACATTTCTCTTGAATGTTTTTAATCCTTAGGCGTGTGTTTTGGTGCAGAACTGCACCTTTCTGCTGTTTTTGAGTTCTTTATTAGACCTCATGGGGCCTCCTGTCTTTCTCTAATCCCGTGTTTTTCTTCCTGTCGCACCTGCCTAGTTTCTCCCAGGTGAGAAAAATATCGCCTGTGTTGAAGTGATTCGACCCATATCACCTGGGGAGGAGATCACCTGTTACTATGGTGCCAGCTTTTTTGGCGAAGGCAATGAAATGTGTGAATGCTGCACCTGTGAAAGGTGTGTCCAATATAGCAACAGGCACCGTGTTTCTATTTTTAGTTTCCTTTGTAAGATTTGGGTGGAATAATCTTTTGAACCTGTATTTGTTATTTTTTTGTTTTTTTTTTTGACTTGTGTGTAGGAATGGAGAGGGTCACTTCAAGCATAAGGGGAAGCAGCCTGAGTGCGAGGAAACAAAGGACCCCGTGGGTCAGAAGTACCGCCTGAGAGAGAGATTTCTCCGCCACCACAGAGAGAGAGGTTACTTTGCTAGCAGACCGATAACTCCAGGAATACACTCTGGGATTTTCAAAGGTAACCGGCTGACTTTGTGCTCTGAAGATGAAGCGTGAACAATATTAACGCAACTCGAAATTACTTTTTAAACTGTCAACAGAATGCTTGGTGAAGATGCAGACGCACTGTAAAAATTAAACTCTTGAGAAACAAAATTTTAAATTAAAAAATGAAAGGTTTTCATTTTTTTTCATCAAAAATAGACGATATGAATTTATAACTTTTTCCACTGTAGATTAGAAACGATGTGATTCAAAACAACTCTGATTATATAAAACCTAAAAGCTCATTTAAGTCATCAGAAAAGATCAAACATTTGATGTCAAAAAGTGAAAAATAGCTTCAAAGTGTTTCTTTTGGTTTACAGTTTTAATCGTAACCCAACGAAGGATTTACTCAGTAGGATCTTTATGTATTATTATTATTATTATTGGTATTCTATGTCTAATAACTGTGATGCTCGTTTAGATTTAGACTGTTACCATTGCTTGTTGTGACACATCAAACAGCAAAGTATAGTGAAATAATTCAGAGCTGTTTTAGTTTACGTTGGAACATTTATCACCAGCGTCGTCACTAATTCTTCAACTTTAATGAACTTTGTTCTTCATCCATTAAATAGATCCTATAGTTAATTCATGTTGTTGTTATTTTAGATATTTTCCTGCTGCTGTGGTGTTTTAACCCCTGAAGGGTTTTATTTTTTGTAGTAATGAACAAAAACGCCAACTTTCCAACACAGTATGGTCTTAGTTGGAATAATAGGCCTTTTATTTTTTTATTCACTTGTTTATTTAACGGAGTTCATCCAGCTACCAGCAGCAGTAGTGATTTAGTACAAAATCTATGAAATCAAGCTGTTGTTGTCGTTCTTTCGCAGCCATCCCTTCGAGGAACTCCTTCACCCAGCAGATGAGGAGGAATGCCTTGAAGAACAAAAAGCTGAATGAAACAAAGAAGTGGAGGCGAGAGAAGCAGAGATGGTCAGGAAAGCTGCCGCTGAAATCCTCCACGATTAAACGGTGCAGGACGCTCCCACTTCTGTCCCAGGTCACGCTGAAGGACGTCAGGGTCAGAGTTCGGCGTCACTCTCTGGATTTTCTTCTTAACTGTAAGAATCCCAAAAGCAGAGAGAGGGCCTTGCTGCAGCAGCTCGAGGAAGTGAAGCCAAACTCAGTGAAGCAAGTGAAATCCACCGGTGAAGAAAATGACAGCAGTGCGGTAAATTTGATGCCCTTTACTGCAGGCCCCTCCATGTTGGCGAATCAGAAGCGTAGACCTGTAGGACGTGGCGTTGGACTTGGTGAGAGTCCTGTCAAAGTGGTGGACAGGCCGGCAGCTCGCAGGAGGAAATCTTCAAAGACAAAAAGCATGGCCGCAAGAAGACAGCGGTCCAAGATGGAGTCCAGCAACACAGACTCTGCTGGTGCTGTAACAGGGTCTCGGCCCGTTCAGGATGATCAAACCTGCTGCACAAAAACGCCGGAGGCGACGGACAAAGCAATCACTGAAAGTCAAAGCAACAACAGCGGCAGCACCAAACCCAGCATCGTCACCGGGGTAAAGAACCCAGGTACTAAGCAAAATGTTACCGAGGCTTCGCCCAATTTAACAAACTGTCAGAATGTCTCACACGGGTCAGAGAATGCTGCGGCCAATCCAATGGTATCCCTAAAGCAATACGTCACAGTAAACCTTACACGGCTGTCGTTGCCACAAGGTCTAGAGCCCGGAAAGCCCGGTGGAGACGGAAAAAGATGTGTTGCAAAAAGACGAAACAAGCCGGGTCCGAAAGCGTCCGCTCTAAAAGAGAAACCTGTCATTGTGGCAGATGGCTGCGCGGCTGAGGGTAAAAGAGGAGCGAAGGAGGTGGTGGTCAAGGCCAAGGATCAAGGAAGTGCAGGAAAGCAGCATCCAGCTGTGGAAGTGACGGATCCCTCTCATGATGAGAAACGGCACGCTGACAAGGCTTCTGAAGCTCAGACGGTGTCGAGTGAGCAGAAAGGTGACGAGCAACAGGAGCAGCCGACTGTTGTGAAGGACAAAACCGATGAGCAAGACAACAAAACGGTTCCCGGGACAAACGCTGTAGAATGCCAAAGAGCTGTGGAAGTGAAAGAGTCTGAGTGTAACGTGGTGTCCAGAGAAGTAAAAAAGAGACAGAGCAACACCCAGAGTAAAAGGAAGGGTGGATGTAAGCGGCAAAAAGTAGGTAACGACGTATCAGGAGAAACGGAACAAATGAAAAAGAGTTTGATGGAACCACCAGTGAGCAGGAAGGAGGACACCATTGTTATAAAACAAGCAAAAGTTCTGCTGTCGGACATTTTAAAGAAGGATAAAACCTTAATATACAGGAAACTGAGGGGAGACGTCGGGGTAGAGTTCTGCAGAACATCTAAAGAAATGCTGAGTACTGAACAGGAAGTGGAACAAGGCGAAATAAAGGAAGGCGATGGCCTCTGCCCAGTTAACAGGTTGAAAGGAAGGCAAATGCGTCCGAGATCAGTGAAAAAAAACGTAAATGACAAGCAAAGCACCAAAGGACACTTGAGCAAAGAAGTCCCCGTCTCAGTGAAGGCCGTGAATGAAAAAGCATGTCCACTTCAGCCTGAGCAGAGGCACAGTGAGCCACTGACTGCCTGCCTCAACCCACTACCTCCAAGGTCACCGCTTTCAGCTAAAGCTAGCCTTCATCCAGACACTAATCTACAGCTGCACACTCAGTCCAACATACCTCTGAAGAAACGTACTTTTCGCAGTTCCCTTGAAATAGACTCTGAACAAAGTCTGAACTTGACCTCAGAAGCCGTTCTCAAAAAGACTCCAGAGTCAAGTTCCCCTTCAGCTCCGAAACAGAGCTCGTCATCTTGTTTAGGAGACGGTGGCAAAGTAAGAAGAGAGAATAAAGTCAAGACGGCTTCCAAACGAGTCCCAAAACAACCCTCCTTCAACAAAACGCTTCGCTCCAGACCCAATGTAGCTCAGCGAGGACACCTAGTGAGGAAAGTTCAGAAATGTAAAGTGGGAAAGCAGGATGACAGTAAGGCTCTCACGCCACTGTGTGATGATCCTGCAGAGGACAAAACACCAGAGGTTAAACCCAAAATCAAGCAAAAGTGTGCTAAAAGTTCATCCTCACAAGATTATTCCACTGAGGAGCAATATTCAGAGCAGACAGAGTCGGCGTGCGATTTCAAGATCCGCCTCAAGAGAAGAAGAGGGAAGGTGTGGGAGATGGAAAATGAAAGAATGGCCCTGAAATCAGAGAAAGAAGAGGATTTAACGGAATGCGACCCTTTTAAAGCCATAATGGATTCTGTTTCAATTTTAAACATGGAGATGGAGGCTCACATGCAGGCCAGCAAAAAGCCTAAGAGCAGATTGGATCGTCTGAAACGAAGACGAGAGCAAGCCGTGGAAAACCAGCCTGCTCTTCTCTCTGCTGATGTTAAACCCGGCTGTGAAGACAAATTCCGGCCAAACGAGTCAACGAGTGGAAAAAGAGAAATTATAGAGACGTTTGATGGAGTTCAGAAGGTTTCTGAGAAGGCTGAGAGTCCGGCCAGCAGCAACGGGACGTTTTCAGCGTTTGAGCAGGAAACTAAAATGGAAGACCGTTTCTTAAATCACTTCTGCTTGTTTGAAAGTGGGTCGCAACAAAAACTGGAGCCAGAATTGGGTTTAAATGGTCTCCCGTTACCCGTAATAAAACTCAGGAGAAAGGCAGAGGATATCTGGGAAGTGGACAGTAAAAAGGGTCTCATTCAGGCTGACCTATTAGAGTCCAACATTAAAAAGGAAATAAAGACTCAGGCTCCTGGAAAACAAAAGAAGGGGTGCCTTGACTCGGGTACGCTCAAAGCCGAGTGTCCATCCAATCAGAGAGTAAACGGCAAGCCAACTGCAAATAAGACAGAAGCGCCTCCATTCTCATTGTCCCTGTCACCTCTGTCGCTCTCTTCACCACTAAACTATAACAACGCCGAAGCTTTTCCAGCTGCAGATAGAAGTGCCGAAAGGTCAGAGATGAATAGAGAAGGGAGAAAACCGAGGCAAAAGACAGACGGATCACGCAAGTGCGGGCCTGTGGAAACGCCCACCACTTGCCTTAGTCACACACTTCAACAGATCGATAACAGCCTCTCAAGGCTCTCTGAAGGATTGTGTTCTTCACAGACGTTGGAAAAACCTGCAACCTGTTCCAGTGCCTCCAGTTCGGTGATTCAGACCCCGTCCCAGTCCCCTCCCTTCACTACTGCTGACAGCATGCTCACAGGCGAGCCTAACTTCACTAACTGCTGTGATGATATCCTCGACTTTCAGTGTCTCAACTTTGAGGGGTACTACCAACCACAGAACATACTCCCATCTTCACCCTCAGATCTGTGTTCTCTGGATCCACCCACTGACCCTTTCAGCAGCCCCTTGTCCCACAGCCCCTCTGACACCTGGAACACTGAAACACCCTATCTTGGCCCTCCAAGTCCAGAAAATAACTTTAACAGCGAGGATTTGCAGTTTTTTCCAGGTCTAATTTCTTCCAAAAGTGATGCTGGTTCTGTTCAAAGTGGAGGTAAGGATGCTGCCAAAGATAGGCATGCACCCAACCCTGGTTTTGGGTTTTCAGCTCCAGGGAACTCTGACTTGACGGGCAAGGACCGAAACATTAGCAGACATCTAGGAATGAGGCTCTCCAAAGAAGACCCCAAAACTCCATCTTTGTCTGTTGTTAATAAGCCACGTTTTTTGGGTTCAACCTCATCTTCTGTTACATCTCAAAATCCAGTTTCTTTAACTCAGACGTCCATCAACATGAAGCCTAGCGCCAGCCAGCCCAAAACCCAGCTGAACCTCAAAACCCAGGGCCCGTTCCATCGTATGACCGTTCCAAGTAAATCCCAGTCTTTTCCCAGCAGCCAGCCCAACACGGGTAGTGGAGTCTCAGCACAAACGTCCAACAGATTTCCCTCTCCTCAGCTCTTCTCTGCTAAAAATCCCAATCCACCCGAAAGTCCATTCAGCTTCCTAGAAAAGCCCTCTACAGTGATCCACAGGGTTCTCAAGTTTCAGGGAGGGAACCAGAGCCAGAACTTGTATAGTGCACCATGCAAGGAAACCTTGGCTGCCGGGAGCTCAACTGTCATGTCCAGGGCACTCGGCCCAAAGTCAAATGAAGTCCAAAAGACCCAGCAAAGTCAGAAATTAGGTGTTTATACTGAACGTCCTCAGAAAAGCGACGCTTCTGCCCCTGGATTTGGTAAGGATCTTGGCCACCTTTGTACCTCCACCAATGTCAGCAGGTCTAACATTAATTTCAACAAACCCAATTCTTCCGTTTTACAATCATTCAGTAAAAATAAGATACCATCTGACAAGCAAGAGGGCGGTGAAACCAACATGATGTACAGAAACTTCTCAGACCTGCCGAGACCATTTTTCTTTCCCAGCAAAGGATCAGATTGTTACCCATCACCACAAAACAAGAGTTTGAAAGGGGACAGAACTACTGCGTCCTCCTCTGATAAACACCAGCTGTGTTACACACAACAAGATGCATTTGATTTCAGTTTTAGCTCCTCACTTTCGCCCATGTCTCAGCACAGCAGCCCCCAAGTGGCCCACAGCACACCTCCTGGTACACCAGCACCAGCCAACAAGAGCCAGTCCTCCACCACCTCAGCTTCTTTCCCTTACGGCTGTCAGGGTCCTCCCTATGTGCTGAATTTCAGTGGGGACCATTCACTGACCCTGGGTCTCAGGGATGGTACAGAGGGCTACACAGGTTTAGGCCCAACAAACTACACTTACCACTGCCTGATGGAACCTTCAGGCACTCAGGGGCGGCTGGTCCTTGAACCCTGTGGACCCCAGCTACAGAACATGTCCTCCATGGGTGGATTCGCAGGCGTCAAAGGTCAGGATGACCATTGCAGAAGGGACATGCAGCAGCAGTGCCAGCCCGGGGAACACCAAGGGGTACCGCACTACGGACCAGTTCCAGGATCACACTCCATGGGTCCAACAAAACCCAAGAGAGTGAGGCTGGTGGTGACTGACGGTACAGTGGACCTGGACCTGCAGTACTCGGACTAAATGAACCAGGTCTCCTTGAATATTTGGACGTTTTGTGTAAGAGTGACTACACAGAATCTACCACGAGACTCTTTTTGTAAACATTGCAGTTCGTAGTCTACCAATTAGAACTTTTTCTAAAGAGTTATTTTAATGTAAAAAGGACTTGTGCGGGATTTTAATGTAAAGCAGGCTCGTGAGTCTTTTTAATTACTGTCTGTTTTAGGAAAAATACCCACTACATTTGCATTTGGATACCAAATTTTAACGCATTAATATCTTTGTGTCAGGGAGTTTAAACCTACATTCCCTGTGAACATTAAAATCCCTCCCGACTGTAACATAGTTGTATGAGTTTTTCTATACCACGTGGTAGTAGAGGCAGAACCCACCATAATGGTGTGCTGGTACTTGTTCTGGTGGAGTGTGAAGAGGCCGTTTGGAGCCTCATTCTTTGATATTCTTGTGATGTTTTCAAGCACCCGTCATAAAATGTCTACCCATTTAATTATTTTTTTTCCATACCAACATTAAGCTCTCCTTTTCACTTTGTGCAACTCTGTGCAAGTTAATGCATGCGTCCAGTGGGTGGGATCATAATATGGCATGTTGTCATACGGGATTGTCACGGTTTATTGGTGCTTTTATCAAAGCTCGTGCATGAAAAGTCTATGGCGATGTCACGGGCCTGAAAGACGTGTTTCACTAACTGCAGCCTTTCAGTGTTCGGTGACTGTGGACCAGTAGGGAGGAAATGACAATATGTCCTTTTTTACTATTATTTCAGTTGTGCTTCATGGATTGAGCGATGTGTGTGAATAGTTCATTGTGTTGTGAGTTTTCCAGGCTTTGAGAAAGCATGTTAATGTCTTGTTGCATCAAAAATGTGACAATCCTCTCATAGCAGTTGTGTTCACTTTCATTTATTTTTTCCCCCAACGGACGGACGGATGGATTCTGTTGTGTTGTTGCAGAAGAAGCTACATAGGTATTTAACTGTAACCAGTTAGCTGTTGATTGTAGAGATTTCCCCTTTTTCTCATGTACTGTACGTTGACCTGCTAGGACATCACTTAACAGGAGATAATTTTACTGCACAGCCTTAGCTTAGCCCCATCAAGTTGTACTGTCTTGTTATGAAATGTATTTATTTTAATATCCTCACTCTTGAAAAGGTGCTTTGATCTAATTTATATTTCACATTGTTTGTTTAAACTATTAAATGTGTTTTTTATATTTAATGGGAAATGACAATATTTACATTAAGTATTTAATTTAAAAAAACAACTTTGACATCCAGTTTTTCAAATGTTGCAGATAAAACTAGCTTGCTTTCTAATTGGCTGTTAGTCTTATTGGGAACCTGCGTTAGAAATGTACAAATGTAGCCTTTATCATTAAAGACTATTCTTATTTTGTAATCTTGTTTCCAGACTTTATTTCAGCGTACCTCCAATGTTGTAGTTGTTGCCAGTTTTCATTAATTGTAGATTTATGTGAAAAGACACATTTTCATGTAATTTATGTAATTGGTAACCCATTTTCTTCACATCATCATTTTTATGATAACTAACAAAAAGCCCTGTTTTTGTAGACTTCATATTAGAGATGGACAATATCTGCATCGATATCGGTATTGGCCGATGTTAGTCATTTAACATATCTGTATCGGTTCGATAAAACTGGGCCGATATTAACAACCAATATTTTTTCCATCCCGTCTCCATTTGATTGCCTGTTTCAGAGGGTGAGAGGGGTGATGTTAATTGTTTAGTCGTGTGAACAGTGAGTGTAATCATCTCAGAAGCGTAAATGTGTGTGTTGTGTGTACATAACGTAAATTCAGCTTTAATAATTTTCATTCTACACAAAAATCTGCTGATTTTAGAAGCATTAATGTCGGTATAATGGTATCGGCAAATATCGGTTATCGGCCATACCAGTGATCTTAATATCGGTATCGGCCCAAAAATGTCATATCGGTGCATCACTATTCCATATAAAGCTTTTGTGTTAAACATGTTCATTGTAGTACATTACAGTAAGATGTTGCATCATTTAGTTTCAAGATGCAGTCGGGTCCTGTTCTTGGTTTGCTTTATTTGTTCCTCTCTGAAATATTCATCTGGATCATTTCAAAGCTCAAGTTCATCCTGCTGGTTTATTGCTCATTCTCTTCTATCTGCTGCTGCTATTTCAACCTGAAACCAGCGCTTTTCTCCTCAAACCTCTCTCCTCTTGCCGTATTTGACCCACTTCTGCCACATATTTCATTTTTCCCAGCTCTCACAACCAGCCAAGCAGCTATTTCTGTTGCCAAGTGTAACATATTTCTCATAATGAGGACAGAAAGAGGAGAGGGAGATTATCCATTACAGTAGAGAGGGAGATGAGGAATACATGTTAATGTTGAAGAGTTTCCCTGCTGTTTAGATTTTCACAGTTCATGTGTAGATGCACCAAACCAAGATGGAAGAGAAAGCAGATCAGATCATAAAAGAATACAAATCTCAACTAAAACACACATTTTCTTTGCTTTGACGCCATTTCAGGTTGTTCTTGTGGTCCAGAGTGACCCACGAAGGTCCGTCGTCTCTTTATAACAGCTGCTGTGTTAAAAACGTAAAGGTAATATTACAAACATTTGCACCACTAACACCTGTTGAGGTAAATTTCATATCATGGCAGACCCGTGATGAAATGCCACATTTTGCTGCTACTGATTATATTCACTCTTAGATGAACACGATGCGAAAAGGTTAGGTGAAACGTTTTCATGGATGACATTTTGGAGACTGGAGCTGTTTTAAGGCAGCAGCAGTACGTTGGACTAGCCGTTAGCCCATCAGTTACAACGCATATGAGCTCATTTGCTCTGGTTAGAGGTCAACAACAGGTGTGATGGTAATGATTTATAAAAAAAACACTCAAAATACCCAAAACATTTTTTCATCAGCATGCATTCTTTATTATATGTTTGAGTACATCACAACAGCATTAGATCATATGTAGCTGCATGACTTCATGTTTTTTGTACCAAGAACTCTGGGGATTATAATCTGCCATGGGATGTGAGATCTGCACAGCTGCTGCAGCTCTGCAAACTGGCTGACTGTGTTAAGTTGCTGTAGGATTTTATGTGAGTGCAGAATACTGGAAGCATCCCCAGCAGCAGTGAAATACAGTAAATAAACTGTTGTTTGACCCTCAGAAAGTGGAGGGATTAGAGCTTTAGAGAAATCCATTCTGCTGGATGTGCTTTCCCAAAGTGACAGGTGAAGCAGGCGTCAGATTCATGGCTAATTAAGGTTTAGTGCAATTGTGCAAATTATATCTGCAACAAGAAGTGGTTTCTTAATCAGAAATCAGTTTTTTTTTTAACTTGCAATGACCAATTTTCCTCACAGACAATCAATATTATTGGTCTGGGCTCAGCCTGATGAACAAAATCTTTTTAATGCAGCTTTCAATACACTCGGACGCAATCTGTCTGGCAGGTTCAATGGAAATCTAATTTAGAGAAACCAATAGATCAGCTGGTGTGGTTTTAATACTCTGTGAAAGTCCTTCTGTGTGAGTCAGAGACAGGGATGAGGTGGACAATACGAGGCAGTTTGTTTAGCGTACATCTATTTCTAAACAACGCTCACATGGCGCTAACAGATGTTAATGACACAAAATATGGTGGAGGCTTCATATTAAGACATTTTGATATGAAATTGTAGCTTTTCTTTTATTATAAAAGCATAGGGTCAAATCACACAGTGTCCAACAGTCATTTGTGCTTATAGTTAGCATTTTTAAACAAATACAGGATGGCATATTGAGTCAGGAATAAAGCAGACACTGAAATCAAGCTGACTGTGTGACTTAGCTCAATGATTTTGCATTTTAGTTTAAGACACATTCAATAACATTCAAAAGACTCAATTTATTAAAATTTTAAACATTTGATTGGTAATGATAATATGACAATTATTAACTTTCATATTAAATTTATCAAGCAATTTTATAATAATACAACAATAATTATACTAAATAAAAATCCCACTTGACACTTAATAATCCACGAGCAGGCAGAAAACCCTTAAAAGATTTAAGACTGCAGATTATTTTGGAAAATGCTAATTTTGCTAAAGAGTTACAGCTACTACAAACTTAGAAATGTGTGTATCACATATGATACAGTGGGCCTTGTAGGTTACAACAAAGGGAAAAAATGTTACAGTATTCCAAGATTTTATATGGGTGAAAATGTAAAATGCATAGAAAAATGATGACATGACATGAAATGAGATAAAATGAAATTACTTAAAATGAGATTAAATGACATAAAATTAGATGATTTAAGATGAGATGTGATGCAATTAGATGAAATGAGATTAGATCATTTCAGATGCGATGAAATGAGATAAAATGACATCAGATGAGATAAGATGAAGTTAAATAAAATGACATTAAATTATTTGAGATGAGATGAAATGAAATGACTTGAGATTAAATGGACCACCACTTCCTCTGCTGCTGAAAAGGGGTGGGGGTGGGTGCTGGTGCCTATCTCCAGCAGGGCACACCCTGGGCAGATTGCCAGTCCATTGTACCAATTGTACAGGGCAACACAGAGACACACACACACACACACACTCACACACACACCTAAGGACAATTTAGACAGACCACTCTACCTAATGATTTTGGAGTGTGAGAGGAAGCCGGAGTCAGGGGCGCAGATAGGATTTTCATACTGGGGGGGACAAAGTTCCAATGTGCCCTCCCCCAAACACACACACGCACGCACGCACGTACACATACACAAACTATGGCAAGCACCTTAACTAGAGCTCAGTCAGTTTGTGTAATTTCATCCGATGATTTACATAAAAACGAACACTTTATATACGTGTTTGAAGCCATTATGCAGTGGAACGCTGGCAACAAAGCTCTGCCTGATCAACACTATAAATGATAAATGATCCGCACTTGAATAGCACCTTTCAGAGTAAGGACTCCAAAGCGCTTTACACTACAGTGTATCATTCATCCATTCACACATATTCACACACTGGTGGTGATGAGCTACGATGTAGCCACAGCTGCCCTGGGGCGCACTGACAGAGGCACCCCACTATTTAATTCAGTCATTTGTTATCCTCTCAATCCTTACTAACCAAACCCTCATGCTTTATGCAAAACATTAAAGGATTTTCAGCGTACCAATCTTTACAGAAAACATAAAAGCCCTAAAAAACTGCACATAAAATATATTTAAATAACAATTTTCCCTTATCACTTAGAGCAGTAGTTCCCAAACTTTTCAGCCTGACCAACAGATGTTCCTTCGTATTTTTCCATTATTTAGAAGTTTTCATTATATTTGGAAAGTTTTAACTTATATATAACTATATAAAGCTCTTTAGATTTTTTATATTTGACTTTTTTATGATTATGTGGCTTTTTTAATGATTATGGCACACTTTGACTTCCATATATAACGCATCGGCATCTGCTCCTTTTTACAGCTTTTTTTTTTTACATTGTCACTAAGTCTGTCATGTTTGCGGTGTTTTTGCCATCATTTCTACATCCATCACGTCCCAAAGAAGGTTAAACCAACATTAAACCAAACGTTTGGAGCTTGTAAACTCCACACACCTCTTGTGCAGCACCAGCTGTCTGATGCTGCAGCAGCGTCAATCGTCCCGGCTGGATGAGTGAATTTCTTCATCAGAGTCAATATTCTGCTTCATAATCAAAGTCACTCATGACCAGACAAAGTGATCAGTCAACAAAGACCAGACCTGCCGGCAATTATACGTTTTATCTCATATTTACTCTCTTCATGCTGCAAGCATCTCCTCCTCTCCCCGACTGGGAGCCTCTCGGCGGGAGGCGATTTTCAAACTCTAAAAACTCCCAAACTTTGCTCAGCCTGAAGGTTCCACATCTCCACTATCTTCTGGTGTAAAGTAGTAACTTCATGAGGGATCATATTTGTAGATGAGACTTGTTAAAGTCAGCAATGAGGCTTTGGCACTTACAGTATAACGAGTAAGTCCCAACACTGACAACAACATACTGAAACTAGAACCAACATGCATAAACGGACAGATCGGTCCCGCCTGCTTAAACTGTTGGTCTTTTTAAAATACGCAGTAATCGTTGCTTGCCTTTTTCGCTTCATCCTGCATCCTGGCGGCAACCACTTTGGCGCTTCTGGAGTCGGTGTTTGTTTACATCATGCTGCATTCAATGTAATTGGAAAAAAGGAGCTTCAAGTGCTTAACCTCCGATTTTGTTTTCTTTCTGGCCTTAGTTGGGGGGGACGGATCGGGGTCGATCTGAATCTGGGGGGGACAGATCCCCCCCCGTCCCCCACCCTATCTGCACGCCTGGCCGGAGTACCCGGAGAGAACCCAAGTATGCACAGGGAGAGCGAACCCAGGACCTTCTTGCTACAAGGCAAAAGCGCTAACCACTGCACCACTGTGGGTCATACCGAAGACTTTTAAAACATGGTCCCCAATGCCTGCTTGACACTCAGCTTTAAAGGGGTTGGATTGAAGATTTTGGCCAGAGGCAAAATTCCTTTCAATGGCATGTGTAAAGAAGTATTAAAACCTCAGATGAAAAAGGTTTTTTGGATTTTCACAGCTGGAATTTTAAGAAAATCTGATGTTTTTTTACTGGCACGGCAAAACCAAAAGCTAGCTTCTGGTCTAAGCCCTGGGCAGCTGGTGACGTTTTACTAGGAGACCTGCTGAAACAGCTGTAGTAAACAACGCCTGACTCCGGTGTTTCTGCGTTATCGTTATAGCAAAGAACAATGCGTCATCAGTCAGATGTAGCTTCTGAAGCCTCTGCTAGTCAGTCAGATTTGTTTTTTCTCTGGGACACGGCGACAAGAACGGATATTGGATCACTGGAGAAGGTCAACTGAACTCCGACCCCGCTAGCTGGTTATCACTGCCGGAGGTGCAGACATGTTTGAGACCGTTTGACTCAGAAGACCCGAGACCCAGTTTGGACACTGGGAAAGATTCTGTTCATCCCCAGTACCAAAATCGGTACAGTTTGTTTACTTTTGACTCTGTTTTAAAGATTTTAGGCAGAGGTAAAATAAATTTTTGTGCTCCACCGGGAGCTCTAAACTGACAAGTTCTCAGCTGGTTTTAGCTCCATCATCTGTCCCAGTATAATTCAATAATCTACAGATAAATAAAATAATGTGCTGACAGTTTTACCACTCCATGTATGTATTGATATAACTCTGGAAAATATTTCACCGGATTTCAGTACGAATATTTTACCAGAATAAGTTTTCCTGCTGGAGTAACTCACTAGCTCAGCTCATGGTTTGCACTAATCCAGGATGGGACGGAGGTTCTACCGGTCCACGGAGGCTTTGTTATTGAAATATGGAGATAATCTTTTATCTGTGTGAGTCGTAGCTTTCCCAAATGACTTGTTTTTTGCTCACCGGAGCTAACGCTGTTAGCAGTGTTGTCGCAGGCCCGCAGTCATGCTAACGGTACTCGTCTAGAATCCAGAAGTACCGGTGCGGTTCCAGATGGATTTATGGATGTAGGTTTTAGATCAGACCTGTTATTTAAAAATGCGTATAGGACACGGACATATGGCTCAAACCTTTTGCTGCAGCTGTAAACACAAATTTCCACAATAATTAAGAGCACAAAAGTAAACAAAATACAGTTATTTACAATACTAGCAACAGCAGCTAGCTTGTTTTACGTGCTGGAGTGACGTATGCGGAACACTGTTCTTCATTGTCTGGAGGAGAGGATTTGGATTTTCTGTAATGATTAGTGACAAAAGTCCTTAACACAATGAACAACTGGACCCAGTTCATATTTGTACAGATGTTAAAGTGTAGGTCCACTGAAGTTATACAACCTGAAAACGGATTTTAATGCCGGCCAATACCTTTAAACCACCAAATAGTTACCGAGCACAGCTACAGCTGCAGCTCACCGCTCCCCACGGGGAGGGGTCAAACGGGGAGATGAATTTCACCAGTGTGTGATGATGACTAATGGGACTTTAATCCAGCTGGAGAATCACAACAACAAATGTGTTTTTGTTTGTTTTTAATGGCTCAGATCACACTTGAGTGTCCACCAGAGCTTCTTCAGCAGAATCACAGCTTTTCATCCAACCCAGCAACAAAACAGATGAAAACAACATCATGTGTATCTTTGTGACTATTACAACCTTCCTGGTTTCGAATCCCCGTGAGTTTCACTCACCTCTGATTGGCATCATGGAGTTGATTTCTACTTGCTATTCAGTTCAGCTCGTCAGCAGAAAGCTCCTTCTCCACCCACGGTGCTCCTCTCCTCCAGCCTCCTCTCTGTATGATAATAAGCGTTGCAGCAGTGGCTTCCCTCATCCTCTCATGCACGTCTCTTTCATTTCTGATTCATTTTCATGTGAGTGTGTGTTGGAATACACATGCTGCTGCAGTTTGCACTTAAGCGTGTCTGATTAGGATCAGATCTCTGGATTGTTGATGTAACCTGTGCAGGATTCCTGCTCTGGTATGTGAGGTTTTATCATTCCCATTTCACGGTTTTTCATTTTTTTCATTTCACAATTACAGGATTAGGTTTCACGTATTTCTGTGTGTGAGTGTTAGGTGTGTGCGCTCTTCCACTGCTGGGTGAATCCCTCCCTGCTCGACTCTTTGCTTCTCGCAGCAAAGAGTCGAACTTCCAAACATCAAAGAGCCGTGGAGAGAGAATGAAGGAGGGAGGGGTTTGCCCTGTATCCAGGTAATGACAGAGGAGGAGGGAGATGGGGAGGTATACGGGAAAGGAAGGGGGGGGGGGGGGGGGGGCATTATGAGGAGAGAGAAGAGGAGGGGGTGGAGGGGAGGTGCTGAACAAGCTGAAGGGAGGGAGGGAGGGAGGCAGGAGGGGAGGCATCGAGTGAAGGATGGGGAGATTATCAGACCAGAGAGACAGAAGTGTTACTACAGAGCTGCTGCTGCAGGAGGGCAGGCTGGGAGCCGATCATGATGATGAAGCTCCATTCCTCAGCGTACAACAGCACACGGGACAAACTGTAATGTCTTGAGGTGGTGGCCGTTGTGAAGAAGGAAGGTTTTTATTGTTGCGGTTGTCTTTTCCTCCCCCCTTTTCATCACATCTTCCTGCTCGTCCCACTCCTTCATTCTCTGCCAACCGCTGGACTCCCCTCCCTCCTCTCTTTCCTACTTTTGTCCCCCCCTTTTTTCCAGCGAAGGGATTTCTCTTTTTCATCAGGGATTATTAAAAAAACAGTAAGATATATATTTTTTCCTTTATACATTTTTCTCTCACATCATGCATGGAGACAGAGGAAGGTGCATGAACAAGCAGTGGGTTTTTACAAAGGGATAGTGGTAGAGTCAGTAGGGGGTATGTGTGTGTGCAGCAGGAGATGGGAGGTGGCTTTGCATGTTCAAGTTTACTGCATTGATGTGAAACATTAATTCCTGTGTCACATGGCTTTATGTGCATGCAAAATGTTAACACAAAATGGAAATGCGTGGCTACTTCATAAAAAAGGGATACGATTAATACTATTAAGCAGCCTTTGAGGGATGCACAGACCTAAAACGATTCTTTGATCAAAGCACATGCACCCCCACTCCATTAAGCTTCAGATAGTTGCAAAATAACACCAAGTGGCAACGCAAATGAACAGAAGCAAATGTGAAACAACCCATCATATAGGGGATGATACTTGTTAGATGTTAGCTTCATTCTTGTGTCAAACTCCTGAGCACACCCACGTGCATTTTCATGCCTGTCAAGGTTTGCAGATGATCTCTGCACACAGCAACTCACTGTTCACATTGAAAAACTCTAACCAGTGCATAAAATCACTCAGTAAATCACACCTGTGCTCTCCTGACACGTTGACTGTAGCGTACACAGGCTGCACATGCACGAGTGAACATGAACACATGAGAGAATTTGTGTGGAGGGATGATTTCAGCTGCAGATACTGTAGGTGTTTTATTACAGGATCACCTTTATACAAGAGGCGGGTCACCCTGCCGGCGCTGAACATGTGTTTGCTCTTCTCCTGTCATTACCTTGCTCTATCTATAGACGCTTTTGTCTCCGCTGAACAAAAAAAGGTGACAAAATGTGGCTTTACAATTATACAAGCTGCTTTTGTTGTGTGGAAAGTGTTGGACAGAACAGCGAGGTGGATGCAGCAGAAGTTTCACCACGGAGAACTTGTTGGGGGCGTTTGGAGCGTGAGAGACGTGACTGTGGGTTCAGTTTTTTGGTTTCACAGGACAATGATAGAGCAGGGATGTCACCCACACATGGCCATAGTAGCTCATGAGCTTTTTGTGTCTGATTTTTTATACCAGAGGTATTCAATCCTTGTCCTGGCGGGCCACTATCCAGGATGTTTTAGTTTTAACTCAGTTTCAACCAAGGGCGTCAGTTTGTTTTCAGAATTGCTGGGGACAATAACCATACACTTGAGTGGGGTTTAAAAATGGCTGGGGACAATAAAGTAGGCTAGCACAGGGGTCGGCAACCCGCAGCTCTGGAGCCGCATGCGGCTCACATCCAGATAGAATTATCCTCTATTCTTTCTCTATTTGCTCTGCTCTTGTCTGGGCTGACGTAGCTGATGGTGCGCGTGGCGCGCCTAACTAGCGGCTGATGCACATTTTACGCATTTGGAGAGATGGGCTGCAACTTTGCGTTTACTGGAAGATGGTCCACTTAACGCACGGGTGTAGACTACATATTAATGACAAATGAATGAAAATTAAATAGTGAGTTTTTACTTCATATTTTATGAATAAAAATGACGGGGGAACACATTTATGACGTCTTTTTAAACTAAATTTTCTAGCGCGACCAACCTGCTTCACTTAAGTCACTGCTTATTAAGGTCCGTCCAAAATTACCGTGGCCCACCCAAAAATGAAAACCTGGCGCCGCGCCTGTTATGAACCTCTGCAAATTGTTGTTCTTCACTTTATCAAACTCAGACTTTGTACAGCTAATGTCAAGATGTAAAATTATGAATTCAGTCGAGCTCTTCCGTCCCTCCCTCTCCTGCTCTCCTGGAAACCCGACATCGGCTGTCAGAAGCGGGAGGTGAAGAAGGAGATGAGGCAAACAGAGTGAGTGCGACGTAAAGAAACCAGACTGGTGTGGAGGTGAGTAAAACAGCTGGAAAAGTGTGGGTGTTGAATCCCCCACGGGTGCGACGCCCATGCGAGCGACCGGTACTGGCTGCTGTCACCTGTTGTGAGCAGCTCTCTGCTGTCTGAGGGTAGGCCCCGCCCACAACACTACGGCTACTGCAGTGTTTTCTTTACCGTGGGAAATGGGTAATAATGGCTCGTTGATGGGAACAGGTTGCCGACCCCTGGTATAAGATCTGAGCTGGTAAAACAAAAATCCTCATCAGCAGGCTTTTTTGAAAGTGGGGGGGACACAGCTGCCCATCACAAATTTTGCCGGGGACATGTCCCCGGCGTCCCCGGTTAAAATGACGCCTATGGTTTCAACACACCTGATTTCAATCATCAGGGGTCTCATTTATCAAACATTGCATAGAATCCTTACTAAAACCGTACTTAAGCTCAGCAAAAAAAAGTACTTACGCCAAGTAGGTTTGTGATCTATCAAACATGGAGTACGCACAGCTGCACGCAATCTCCGCTTCATAAATCAGAAACTATCTACAAAGGTTCTCAGCTGCATTTTAGTCACATCCCGCCCTCACCACGCCCACTTACTGCCATAAATAGTCAGTGCAAAGTGCCTTGTGGATCTCATGCATGTACATAAGCCGGCTGTTGCAGCGCTCCGCCAATGACGATGGCGACCGTAGATCAAGGCAGATCAAGGAAGCGCAATTTCACAGAAGCAGAAGTTGAGGTGCAGACATGAAAGGAAGTGCTTCTGCAAAACAAATAAGAGAAAATCCACGGAGTGGCACAGCGTTGCTGAAGCCGTCAATGTTGTGGGTTATTCAGAGAGATCTGTGGTGGATATAAAAAAAAGGTCCAATCAGGATTTGATCCCAAGACTCCCGGGTAAAAGCCATGTGCGCTAACCAATCGGCCAAACGAAAATCTTCCTTGTCTAAGTAGCCAGTGCACATCATGAATCGGGTCACAGTTACAGAACACACACACTGTCACAGACGCATGACATTCTGTCTCTATCTGTCCCCCTGCTGATATTCTGCATTCCGTATTCTGCGTTTCAGGCTGTGTGTGTGAGTGTGCACGCATGTGTGTGTGTGTGTGTGTGTGTGTGTGTGTGTGTGTGTGTGGGGGGGGGGGGGGGTTCTAGTTCTGTGTGAAAATGAAGCAGTACAAGTGATAATGCTGCAGGATTTCATAATTTTATCCTTCTCATCAGCAGCACTGCAGGTGCTCTCCATGTCCAACATGTGTGTAAGCCAGGTCCTTATCCAACTTAAAGTTACGCACATTTTTCCGCTAAGTTTTCTTTCATAAATCCCAAAGTTTGCGTGGAAACTTGCTTACGCAGTTTTCCGACCCCGTTTTGTGCGTAAGCAAGCTTGATAAATGAGGCCCCTGGTGATTACCAGCTGGTGCAGAGCCTGATGAGCTGCTGCACAAGTGATTCAACCACTGAATCAAGTGCGTTGGAGCAGAGAAACAACTAAAACTTGCTGAAAACTGCCCTTCCAGACCCGGAATTGAATACCCCAGCTTTATACTATCATCAGAGTATCGCCGGGGGTTTTAGGGATGCCTCTAGGTGGATAAAGAAGGAAATGATTTGAGTAGAGATGCATCGATTCTGGTTTTGAGAGCTGATATTGATTCCTGCAGATACAGATATTTACTCAAGGAACTGTAATTAGCATATAGTTTTTTTTCCCCCATTTGACCTTAAATTAAAATTAGGATTGTGAAAGTATTAAAAAATCCGCATTGAAGAAATAAATGTCCAGATTTTAGAGTTTCAGATTGGCTGATGTTGAGCCAATTTTCCTGTTTCACATCCTGACATCAAGCAGCCATTGAACACAAATTCATGTTGAACGGATACGTTTGTATGAAAAGTGATGGATCCCTTCTAGTCAGATACGGCATTCTGAATGGAAGCAATTCGTGTCAAATTTAATGGCTCAGTCTGCAGCTCCGGGAGCAGATGTACATGTGTAATCGTTATGTTGTGTCTAGGTTCTCCTGAGTTCCACGATCTTCATCGCAGCATCTTCATTTACTGTCTTTCAGTGATGTTAATAAAGTTTTTTATGGTCCAGCTCTTCTTTAAATTCTTTGGGACTGGGATTGGTCTGTGAATGTTGAGTTGGCCTGCTCCGTCTGGCTGCAGGCTGAGATCAGGCTGTCATGTCCTTTCTGCTTCAGACATAATTTGACAGAAAGAGAGTCAAGGTCCAGCAAACAGGCTGGACTTGGTGCCAGCAAAGTCCGGTTAGAATTCAGCTCGTGTTTGCAGGAAGAGGCCATTAATTCCATCTTTTGTCAGTAAAGTGTTTCGGAGCAGCACTGTTTAGCTCCACTATGTACACAGAAGACAGAGTAACCAGCGGACATTTCCATCCGTGCAGATCCCTGTGGGGATCGGGGGAGCCACAGTCTTTTCACACACATGTCAGCTTGGACAAGAGAATATTTGTCAGTACACCCACCTGACACAGGACTGTCGGGGGTATGATTTGAATAACGAGAATGTTTCTAACCTGAATCTGAGATGAAAACAGATAGTTTTGGTCTTCTGAACTGATCACCCATCTGTTCAGCCACTACTGTGACTGAAAACTTACCAGAGTTGGACTGTGGTGAGGTTATTTTCTCTATTTCCAGCATCTCTCTTGTTTTTTTTTTTTTGCCAAGATGCCTGAAATTGGAGCTCAGCATTCCTTTGAATATCTGCTGCACAGCTCAGAGGGTGATGTAGTTCATTTCTCCAGATTTAGGCTCTCTCACTCCTTCCCTCTCGCTCAGCCCTTCTCCATCACTTGCTGGCCGTAAACCAGAGATCTGGGACAGACGGGCCTCCCCTGCGCTTTGTCCTACTTTAGGACTGTCCTTACTCCTCTTTCTTCTTGTTCCTTTTCCTCTGTCATTTCCATCCACCTGTCTTTTACCAACTCTATCAGTCTTTATTAATAATTCCACCATCTGTGAGTGTTTCATCAGACCAGAACGATGCTTCTGTCTGGTTTGCAGGAGCCAGAGGGGAAATCATTACTTACATTCTTTTTCACTGGACATGGTGAAGAAAATACTTGTCGGTCATGAAACACCTT